CGAAACGGCCGTCCAGTGCTTCCAGGTTTCTAATGGTGGTCTAACAACGATGATTGATTAATGATTTCAAATGTGTAAAAAACGCAAACCTCCAAAACTGTGCCCCAATAAAATAATCTAGTAATCGAACAAAATTTCTTACGTCAAACTATGCAATGGTTAATTGCTTATCATTCTACAGGTGTTAGTTGTCAAAGAAATAACGACTCATTGCTTTCTTCTCTTCAGTTGTCTTTCAATAAATGTCATTCTGTGAGAGACAATGGTTCAGACTATTTTTTTATGCAAAATTAATCCTAAAATACTGATTTAGCTTCATATGATTTTAGAAATCATGTTTAGGCGAAGCTTACATCGAACATACAGAATCATAAATAACACATAAGATACATGGATTCCTAACGATTTCTTAATTCCTTACTACACTTTAACATAGAACGGTAGACGGAAGATGAAACTTTGTTTCCGAGGTTAGTGTTAAATGTTTAGCACAATACGGAATTCTCAGCACGGAATATTTCAACAAGTTTCTTTTGAAAAACAACTATTGATTGGCATTTGAAAGTAAGTAGTTCAAGAAACGACATCTTATTAGATTGGCAGACATAATTAACATGATAAAACAAAGAGAGAGAGAGGTAGATTGTTGAAATATTTTGTTGTTAGGAAACAAGTAGTCCAGATATTCAAGTAGGCCGCCTGAAGAGAATATTTGTAGTTTTACAGGTAGCCTTTATATACCGGAAGCTTCCTGAAAGCACTGTAATTGATGACTATTCAACCAGACCATAATACATAATCCTATTATACCTTTCCAGAAATTTCCGATAACTTTCCAACGAATACTGATTAAAGTATTTTCAGTCTTCCTCCACCTTCAGAGGGTTTATTTGTAGAGTTCTCAAGATCCTCGAACCGTAAGAAACAACAGTATATCTTCTTTTCTTCTCGAATCATATCGATATGTAATATAGTGAAACTCTTAACGTATATATAAAAATCATAGTATAAACCAGGATATGTTCTTCCCTAACAATTTTATCTCCTGTGCCCATAATCTTTCCATATTTAAAAATATTCAAATATTTTTTTTTAAAATTTACATTAAGCACAGTTAATTATTGTTGATATAATTCACACATGTTTATGTATATTCAATTATTTCACTGTCTATCATCAGTTTAAAGTTATCAATCAAATGAAGATAGTTTTTTAAATAATTATTTTAATAGTATATTGTTTTGGATTTTTATTTTTTTTTGGAGAAAATAGGAAATTCGTTTAGTCTTAAATTCTTTCTGGGTTACAAACAACACATATATATATATAGACTTGCGTTAATAGACATTTTTATTTATTGATAGTTTTATGTAATTGGAAATACAGCGATAATGAACACTCCTGAAACAAAACAAAAAAAATTTCTATAAGTATCTACCTATTAATCGAATGTAAAACATCCAGTTAATTTAAATTTTGAACATGGATTTAATGTCTAACAAATGTTTGACTTAAAAGTAATGTTGATTACAAACTGATACCAACTGAAAAATACTTTAAAACAGGATTATTTGACATTAAACTGTCTTGACATTTGTATTGAAATGTAAACACAATTCCACCGTATGTTGCAGAAACTTAAAGAACTATGAAAGCTATCATCCAGAAGATACAAGTATTCATTGACAGCTGTCTACGCAAAATACTGAGGATTTGTTGGCCAGACACCATCAGCAATAACCTACTGTGGGAGGCAATAAACTCGATTCCGGTGGAGGAAGAAATCAGGACGAAGCGGTGGAAGTGAATAGGACGGACATTGAGGAAAGCACGCGGCTGCGACACAAGAAAAACCCTCACTTGGAACTTTCAATGTCAAAGGAAAAGAGGAAGGCCAAGGAACACATTACGCCGAGAAATAGATAAAGATATGAGAAGAATGAACAAAAACTGGACAGAACTGGAAAGGGAATGTCGGGACAGAGTTGGTTGTAGAATACTGGCCGGTGACGTAAGTAAGTAATATCACATTAAATAAGAAGTTTGTTTTGATTTTTAAATCATACAACAGCTATCATAAACAATCTATAATGAGACGAAACTCAGTATCTTCACAGTGATAATTATCCGTCTAGCTGATATTCAGTAATCTATGTTATGATATATATGCTTAATTTTATAGTCACTGTCATTGGAGAAAACTGATTGGCGGCCTATGCTCCATTGGGGGTAACAGGCGTAAGTAAGTAAGTCATTGGTAAATTTACTTTCCTAGTTCAAATTCAATTAATATCAAAAACATGTAACTTTAAACTTTCAATGTTTCTGAAGTCAGTGATAATATTTTGACAAATTTACCTTGATTATTACAAAAACGACAGACAGATTCATCAACTGATTTACCATATTTTTGAATACAATAAATTCACTTTGCTTCCATATTCAGTAACTCTGTCTGGAGCCGTTCTAAGGTAATTAAGGGTTCTAAGCCCGGACAAAACAGGACGGCTGGACACAGGTTTCGCAGCTACATCCCGTAAAAGAAAACTTGTGAACAGATGATAACCGGGAAAAATAATTCTCAACAATTAAACTCTGTCCTTGGAGTTGGAAGTCACGAAGCCGATCCCTCTATTGACATGCACATAGAATGTTCACATGTTCTGGGAGACAGGAAAGAACATCCGAGTTGCTACGGATGTGAAAAGACACAACCTGATGGTACTTGGAATAAGTGAAACCCAATGGACAGAAGCTGGTTAATTAAGATTAACTTCAGGTAACATACTGTTTTAATTGAGATATCAAGAAGAAAACACTTCACATACACAAGGAGTTGTACTAATACTGTACAAAGAAGCCCCCAAACCACTTATAGAATGGAGATTTCATGGACCCAGGATCATCAAAGTATCCTTCAGAAAAAAGAAAGAGGGAATTACAATGAGTTTGGCCAATTGTTATGTATCCATGAAAGATAGCAACGAAGAAAACAAATATCAGTTTAATTAAATACTGCAGTCAATCATCGAGAAACATCCAGCAAAGGATTGGACCATTCTGATAGGAGGACTAAACACCAGGGTTTGAAAGGACACTTTATTTCCATACAAATACACGCACAAATCTATATGGATTTCACAAAGTCACACAACAGAAACTGGATCGATGACATCTGCATCAATTAACAGTTCAGAAGGAGCATGGAAGATGTGAGAACAAAGAGAAGACCCAATATATGTTCAGATCACCACATAGTGCTGGCTCAGATGTAAGCGAAACTCAAGGAGCCCCGAACAACCACGTGAATAGCATTACAAACTTTAATATAACCTTCCTTCGCGATACTAACAAACTCACTGGATTCATGATAGCTTTCAGTAATAAGATTGAAGCTTTTCACAATCTGCAATAGAGAACAACTAGATGTGGATTAAACAAACAATAAATTGATCATGTAACAAAGTGTTGGGCAACAAAACCATTGTCATAAGGAACGGATCTCAGTTGATACACTTAATAAGATGTAAGAACTAAGGAAAACATTGTAGGTGAATGAAACACACATTGCAGAAATTACCAATCTGCATCAGAAGGCAAGCCGTAACTATGAATCCTGAAGGTAAAAGGAAAAGAGGTAGATTATAAAACACAGTGTTCTGTGGATCAGAGGCAGACACGAAAATGAATAGCGATTGGAAACAAGTGAAACATAGAGCACATGACAGAGTTGATTAGAGACAGATGGTCAGGAGCCTATGCTCTGCCAGCGGCAACAAGACTATGGAAGTAAATTAGTAAGTTCTCTATTCTTTTTATGGGCTAAGCGTATGAAGTCAGTGGTTATTAAATCGAAATAAAAACGTTCATTCTGATGCTTTTGTGGCAAAATATGACTGTCTAAAAGATTTATGCGTTTGACTTAAACCAAAATAAATATTTATGTAAAAAAGGAGAATAAACAGTCGCAAATCATTTCACCATTCAGTCATCGGAATGGTGAAACAATTCAAGAAAATATATTTCAATCTATGAGTGAGAAATAGTCTTTCACTCGGTGCGTCTGTTCATAATTAAGAGCTATTTTAATCTGATGGGATTCAGAAACAGAATTATAAGAGACATAAAAAGTAGTGATAATCATAACCATTGCGGATTATTTGTTATTCATACACAATACATAGATTTCCTGAAAATAAAAAGCTAAATATTTACACCTAATTTGAATTTTTCTAAATTAAATGATCATATAATCTCATCCAATCATTTGTAGGCAAATTATATTGTCTATTCAAAATAGACAACTAACTGACTTTTTAATTGGTCAAATAATTATGTGTTTTGTTCCATGCAATGACAGTCAATTAGACCTTTATAAATAAGTGTGACGTCTATAAATGCAACATAAAACAGCAATGAATGAGATGTATAGCATACATATATATATATATATATACATTTGCTAGCACTCTTATGGGTGTTTGTTAGTGTGTATTCCTATCAAAGTCTGTCTATAGTTGCTTTAATTTAAATTAATCATAATGATTAGGTTGTAGTAAGTTATTTGTTTTCCTACACCCGAAATAAGCAAAGAGAAGAAATATTCATCATTTCTGTGAACTCTATTCATTGTTCCAAATAGAAATCAATTGGATAAGAAAAATTACACCCCTTTCATAAATCAGAAAATATTTATTCATTTTTTTTTATATTGCATAGATGATAAAAGGATACACATACAAAGACAAAATTAAAACGCCATTGCTTCTATTATTATCATCAACCCTATACATCAAAAATGAATCAACTCACATTATTAAACTGTAAGAAAAAATATGAAACAATCATATTCAATGGCGCCAATTTATGCCCCCTTTTCAATTGAATTTTATGAAATTGGAAAAAAAAATACAATTGACACTTTTCTTAAATAAGAATAAATGTTTACAGTATATTGACTTTCATTCAAATAATTCATCTTTAATTTGAATTGCATTTAAATGTGTGAAAATGAATTTTTCATGAACAAAATCAATATGAATGAGGAATTAAATATTTCTACAACTGATAATAATTTTATACTTACTGATGAATCAGACAATTCATGGAAGAATTCTATAGAATTGGAACCTTTTTATTCTACTCCTAGTAAAAATAATCATACCACTACTACTAATATTACTACTACTACTACTACTACTACTACTACTACTACTACAACTTATGAAAATAACAACACAACATTCTCTCCAGACGAAACTATAACAATTACATCTTGTAACAATGAAATAGATAGAAATAACAATCTTAACCATAATAACGTATATTATTCATTGAACGAAATAACAAGCCACATCAATGATAACATTCCGAATACTAACAATAAAAATACTTCGATTATGAATACAATAAATGATAAAATAAAACAACCTGATCAATCGTCATGTTATTCTGTATGGCAAAATTTTGTAACAAACTTATTAAGTAGTAATCAGAATAATAATAACAATAATAATAATAATAATAATAATAATAATAATAATAACAGTACATTTTCTCCTGTAAAAGAAATCAATGATACAAGTAAATTGACCAAATATTATTCACCTCCTCATTCATCATGCTCAAATGTAAATAATATCGATTCTATCGATTCAAAATACAATACTATCAGTGTATCAACAATACACAATAGTGACAATCATAATAATAATGATAATATGATTCATTTATCTAAACAATTTAATAATACACCGAAAAAACGAAAAACAGCTTATGGAATACGTGATATATTAGAGGATTCTTGTAAAGACAATGAAATTCATGCTAAAGTGAATAATTTAAATGAGAAAATTACAATCAATCAAAGTGAACAAGCACAACAACTATGCGATTATTCAAGCGATGAGAATCAGTCTGTTGAAAATAAATTGAATAAAATTTATTCCATATGGTGGAATGCATTACATTCTTTATCATCATCATCATCATCCAATTCAACTGAGACATTGAATAATTCGGTCAATAAAATCGATGATAATACACTTCAATTGATGTATCAACAATATCGTTTACTTGAAACATTTTCATCATTATCAGAAAGTGCCAGTTCAAAATATTCAACAAATTTATCACAAAATTATCAATCAACTTCTCCGGAACAATCGAATTTGCATCAAAATCATTATATAACTGATTTTGATTCCGAAGAAAATAATCAATCTAAATTCAAATTGAATCAGTTACATTCAAATATGAATCTATTCAAACAAATTACATTGAATTTATCCAATGAACAATTACCTCAGCTATTTTGTTCTACAGAAGAAGCGACAACTGCAAAAGAAACAGAAACAACAACAACAACAACAACTACTACTACTACTACTACTACAGCAGCATCTTGTTCAATGAAAAAAGACGGAAGTAGTGCATTTCCAGACTGTTTAAACAATAACCATTTCAAATCATTCGATTGTGAAAATCTTTTCAATATGGCTGCAGCTACAGTAGCAGCTATGGCAGCTGCAGCATCAATGACAAATTATCGCTCACCATTGAACACTTTACACCAGTCAACTCATCATACATCATCAACAAGTTTGTATACAGATTCAATGAATTTATTTCAAAATTCTTCATTAACTGATTATAATTTGTCAAACAATAGTACAACATCTGTAAATACAGTAAATAATAATAATAATAACAATAATATTATCACAAGTAGTAATAGTAATTCAACATCATTTGTATCTAGTCCATCATTTAATTCAAATATAAAAAATATTCAATTGCCTACAGGACATATGAACAGTTCAATTATTTCTATGCCTAATATTCATCATTCATTGACATCACCTTCATCGTCATCATCCCCATCGACATCGACAGTTGTTAGTACAAGTAATAATGGAATAAATTCAACTAGCTCTTGGATAAAATCAAATGGTAAGTCTATGTATTAATCTGTGATTTTAATGTTTATTAAACTGTAGAAGTGAAATTTTTTTGATAGTTCAAGAAGAAATATCCAAAGTAATTACTACGGTGTTCAAATATTTTCCTTGATGGCATAATGTATATTACTTGTAGCTGTATTGAGAAAAGAATCATAATCTGCTGAATTTAATATTTTTACTGGGTAAACTATTATCAATTATTATTAAATCAATAGGAAACATTCATAACCTAGCGAAGAAAAGATGTAATCAGTCAGGAATAGTGAAGTGTATACAGAGAATTATTATAACTGAAGAAAGTTTTCATTATAAACTGATATAAAAAATGTTGAACCATTGAATACAAGTCATTATTACATAATTCTCCTATCTGAGTGGTGATATCCCTTAGACTATGTGCCTAAAGTTGATTGAAGTTAAAAGTTTAAACTATTGTATTCAAACGCACTAATCATACGATATTGTGTTCAATAGGCAAATTAAATTTTCTCAGTTCTCTGTTGAGAGTTTTTAGTATAAAACAAGTCGAATGTATGTTGCTCTGTGGTGTAATGGTGGTTATTCAGCTGATCACATTCTATGCATAAATATCTTTCTTAAATTACTTAAGGCATAATGACAAATATTATAAGGATAACATAAATTCTGCTTATTTATGCATGACACCTTAGTTTTAATAGGAAAATGTTTCATAATCACAATTTTTACTTTATTGAGATGATATTTAGATAGAAATAATTTCTAGATGTTCTTACTACAGTATGTGTAAAGAAACAAACATCTTTCATTAATTCAAAAAAAATTTAGTGTAAAAATAAATCATTGAAAATAGTTTCATTTTTTAAAATGAACTTAAATAGTCAAATTAATTGTCTTGGTATTCAGTACTTCCAATCATCAGAGTAGTAAATGTGATAAAAAATGAAGACAAATGTGTCTTTTCATTTCAAATCAATTATCTTACTGTTATATTATTATATTATGATGTCAGAATAGTCCCTTGATATAGTACTAACTATAAAGTCGGCTAAACGTCACTTAACCTGTTATAAATCCAAACTAATCTTCAATCGTCTATTAAAACATAATTAATAAGAGTTGTATAGCACAAGTTTGAAAATAATATTGAAACACTCTACTTGAAACATTGTCTAATAAAATTGCAGTTAGTTAACTGTCAGATTTATCACCGAAATGTTTCATGATAGCTGTTTTTTTTTAAAAAAAAGCAAGAGTCGATTATGACATGTTTTTCCTAAATGCAAGTTCTATCTTGGGAAATAATTTTATTTTTTTTCGAGTTTATCATAACAAGTTTCAAATTTCGATACAGTTATATTTAAATCACAATTTTCCAACACAATTTACATACTCTATGAAACTAACTAAACATATATTCACTCTCATTAGTTTGTATTATTCTTTTTACATTACAACTAATCATCTTATTAAAGAAAGTTTACCTGGAATGTACATAAAGTTCTAGGTCACAAATAATAATAATAATCTGAGTACATTAAAAACTTATAAAACCAAAATGAACTTTCTTCTGAAGAAATCGAATCTAGATTTTTAGTAAACCTAAAAATAAGCATAAACGATGCAAACTATATTCAAATTTTATAAATAGTAATCTATTTTAATAATACTACGTCATACTATAAATCACTTAAGAATATTCTTGATAAGTTCTAATATCTTTTGTATTGTCTACTAAGAAATATTTCAAAGAATAAACATATCCATATGAATGAAATAATTTAATTCGTTGTGTGCTGTTGAGCTTTAAGTCATATTATATAGATGAAACAATTTAAGTAATGTACTTTTATTTGTCTATTATTATTAAATGAATAATTTTAGCTAAATATCGTACATTTACTGAGTTTTACTGTGACAAAATATGTTAGAAATAAATATCATTCATTAATACAAGTGGCTAATTTTACATGAACAAAATTCAATAATTATTCTAGTAATAGTCACTATACGGTTATGGAGATTGTTGAGTTTCACTGAAATCATGGATCGACCAATGTTAGACCACTATTAGAAGCTTTCAAGCACTGAACTAGCAGTGAGTATCCACGACCTCGCAAGCTGAAATCGAACCTTAGACCTTCGGTCATGTATGTAAACCGTTAACATCTAGGCCGGTAACCTAGCATTCCAAGGTGTTTATGCCTAACTTGAATTAATCCACGATACTGCGCGATCTCATTTCAATGAAACTCAAAACTCTCCACAACCTTATAGTGACAATTATCATGTGCTCACTAGTAAATAACATAATAAGGGAACCCTCAGATCTCTGGTTGAAAGACGTAACCAGTGGAGTTCAGCTGTGTCATATGTGATATATTTACCCACCGAAGACCACAGATAAGGTCGCTCACTGTCATGCATTGCATGATGCTGAAGAACACCGTAAGATGTTTGCTCACTGGTGAACAGGCTAAAAGTTTTCATATGAGACCGAAGGTTGTTGGTCCGATTCTTGCTGACGAACCCCATACTAATGTGAAACAGCCGTCCACTGCTTCCAGATTTTTACTAGTAATCTAACATTGGTCTATTCATGATTTCAATGGTAACCCAACATTAGACCAAATTTCCTATTTTATCTCCAGTTGTATACTGAATGAAATAAAATCATCATCAAGTACTTAGTACTAAATTTCCATGTTGAATAAGTATTTCCGAAACTACAAAATTCATAATGTTGTATTACAAAACAAAACAGTTTATAACTGAACCTCATATTTATAGTATGCTCTTTTTACATGATTTGCAAGTTTCATCGAGTGATGAAACAATGTTTCACATTAATTATATCAACTGATTAAATGACAGTTGTCGTTTACAGTGTATCAGTAGCTGTCAGTGTGACAATAAGAAAAAATTACAGTACGATCTTAAAGAAATCTTGTTTTGTATTAAATAAGTTAGAAATATTCAAAGGCTGTAAACACAGAAATGAAAAAAAAATTCTCAATATATCAAAGTATTTTCTTTTATGTATTGAAAAATGTAAAATTTTCTCTTATTGACAATTAACGTTAAAATTTTATGTTGATTTCTATATGATTAAGTAATTTTACATGATTTTAAAATTGACAATTTTTAAGTTTCTACTTAGTTCTACTTATATTTAAGCAAACAAGTTATATGTTTTTTAAAGTGTTGACATGAATGACATGAAAGTTAATCACATTTACATAGAACAAATAGACCTTATAATCTCGTATCAAACAATCGAGAAAACATTTTTTTTTAATGTTTCATTACATAATGACACTAATAAATGTCTATATATTGTTCAATTACTATTTAGTATTTGTTCGAAATCAAGCGTGAATTGAACATTTTACACAAAACCAATTTCTAGTAAACAGAAATCATTTTACTTTCTCAAGTGTAAATAAAGTGATGATTTTTTTTCAATGCCTAACAATTCAAGTTTCAGGTTGTTGTTGTTGTTGTTTTCTAAAATGTATAATAAAAAAAATAACTGCTCCTAAAAAACATGCAAATAGTGTTAATTTTGAAGGTAATTTTATAGTTTATTAAGGAACAGATTAATTATTTACAAATCAGTCAGTCAGTTACAACGTATAACTTCGTACATGAGTACATAAGTTCAAGTTGCCACACCCCATCAACACAGAGACACAACAGTCAGCTCAAATCCAATAGTGGTAGAGATAGTAAAGTATCAGCAGTAATGGAGAAGATTCGAATTCGTAGATGTTATTCAAGAAGTACAAATCAGTGAAATAGCTTTAGAAAGAGAAAGACAGAGATGATGAGGAATTCAGAAGATAAGAATTTCAGATAACACAAAGAGTCAATGCACCTGCGCCACTGCAAACGGTGTTGAGCCACATCATTCAAGGTCTTTAACCATCAGTTACTATCATCTACCTAGCCGACACCTACCAACTTGACTCAATCTACTTACCAATGACTTTACTGATTTGTTCCATGTTTGATTTGGCCACCCCTTGCTTTCTTCCAGTCTACTCCTACATCACGAAACAATGCTCATCGAGAAATTCGGCGTCTAGGAAGTCGTAACACATGTGTCAACCACCTCATCTGATGAAGCTTCATTACTTCTTCTATTGATTCGCCATTCCTTAAAGACAACATTGCTTACTCGGTTGTCGCACGATACTCCAGCATGGCTTCGAAGACATCTATGGTCGGATACTAATAACCTGTAAATATCCTCAACTTTTATCGACTCTGTTTCGCATCCATATAGTAGGACAGAGCGGACTACTGGGCAGTAGACTCGTTCTTTGGTTAGCAGAGGGATATCTCGCCTACGCCATAAGTGACGCAAGTTGGAAAACGTTAGTCGGGCCTTTTGTATCCCTGCTGAGACTTCATCAGTCAGCACTGACGAAACTCCCAAGATAAATGGAGCGGTTTAAACACTCAACTACATCACCCCCTATCAACAGGTCAAGTGCCGATGCAAGCCAATCCTGAAGCAAGATTTTGCGTTTCGAGGTGGAGAATCGCATCCCGAACATGCTTGCATTGTTGTTTAGGGTGGTCGGAAGACTGCATTTTGTTGTCGTCCTCACCAAGTAGAACTATATCATCGGCGTACTCTAAGTCAACAAACGAATTTCCTGCTATAAGTTCAACTCCTGAAAGTCAGATGATGAAAGTGTCATATTGAAAAGCTCGTAAAGACGAAGTTAAACAAGAATGAAGAAAGTTAACATAATTTTAAAAATTACATTCTGTAAATATATTTTTCTAAAATTGTCGGTATAATTTAATCTGATGGAATAGATCGTTTGGTTGGCATGATTGATATTTTCCAGTAATTTGTAAGAATCAATTCGATTTTAGAAATACACTTTTATCACAATATTATATCAGCTAGTGAATAAATAAAAATGAGAGAGTAGTTGACTATTTCATTGATTTATTTTGAAAATCTTCAATAATGTGCACAAATAAAAGTTACAG